TCAGAAATTTCATTTCTATCTCAATAATAATTTTGTAAATACCTTTTCTAATTCTTTTCCTTAGTTAACATCGTTTTTAGTGATTCAGTGTATAATACCACGTTCCATTGACTCTGTAACAGTTCGAGGTATCGAAAGAGGTGAATTTTTCCATTCCTTCTTACGATTCCTTCCTTTTCCCCTTCTTTCTCCATTGCTGATCGATTTCCAATTTTTCCAGGCGGTTCCTAAAGTTCAGCCACGTTCAGAAGAAGTATCTCTCGCTTCTTGAAACTTGCATATGAACTTCATCACTGATCATTGAACGATAGAGTACAATTGCCAACTAAGGATCAGTTTACAACACATACTCGACTCTTATGTCGGCTTTCAGATGGTAATGAGGGGCAAGCAATCGATCTCAGGGAAAAGCGAAAATGTCAGGCTGTCCTAATAGCCAGTCCGCCTCGTCGATCCTCAATGATAAAAGTGATGACGTTGAGGAAAAAGGTAACACTAAGACACCAATGATAGCAAAGTAGTCCGTCTTCATTTGGCCCGTAATATTTTCCTATATCGATCTTCGATGCTTATCTTCCTCTAAATAATTAAAAGAATTTTATTTAAGTAGGTCGTTATATTACGCATGTCAAAAATTAAACATTTGCCAAGAGTCTTTTTAAAAGGAATGTTCATTTGAGGCATAATTAAAGATTAACAGATATGAATTAATTTTAGTCAAATATGAGTAAGTGTGAGATTTTTTTCATGATACTAGGAAAAGAAAGAGCGTGAAGGAAATATTTTTTTGTTTAATAAAATTATACCGAATATTAGGGTACCTTTTAGAGATATAATGATTTAAATTTTAGCTGCCTGAAGGCTGTCAACCCGCCTTACAACTATGTACTGCAGCGTGCAGTAGACATGACGCATGACGGGTTGCTCGCCAACTGGGTGGCTAAAACCGCCATTTAGAATTATTTCGAGGTTCTTCTGCTGGAAAAATGAACGAATTGCAGTTAAGTACGATTAATGTCTACTCGAGAAATCAATCATTAGGTAATTAAATACTTAAGTCATTAAAGAATTTTCTACTCGGGCGATGAAAAATTTTACTGCATTAAAGTTTCTGTGCAACGAAGACTAATTCGATTAGTTCTCGAAGACGTGCGCAAAATGAAAGCGATTTTTCTGAATGAAAGAAAGAATGATTGTACAAATTCTTCAAGTGAAGTAAGTTTTTACTCTACAGGGACTCTGTTTATGTCTTCCTAAGGCTCTACCGACTAAAAGTTTACTCATAAAAATTTCTACTTTCGCTGGACTTTTGTACAGAATTTGATGTGTATCACGCAGTGAGAACTTTGAAATTGAAGTAGTTTTTCGAATCAACTTTTCATCCAGTCTCCAGGAAGGTTTTCAATAATAAATCTTTCGTTTTCACTGCCTATAAACAGTCGCAAGATTAAAGAAGTTGACTGTACGCTGTTAAAATAGTACTTATTATTGACTTGTACTACTTGGAACCGATCCCAAAGTATCCAAAGTTATTATTTTCTCCTTTAGAATTTCTAAACCTTGAAATACTACCAAGAACTCCACTCCAACTAATTGAGCTACCAAAATAAAAATTTTCTCTCTTAATTATCTAATTAAAAAAAATTCACATATTTTCATATTACGTTCTAAATTCTATATATATATCTGTTGTACAGACCACAGCAGTGATTCTCAAACTATGGTACTACCAGTGTTACATCCTAAACACTGCAACCCACATATTCAGAGTTTTGCGGGATCGTAAGGCCCGTTACGTGGATTCTAGTGTTGCAGAGGTACGGCTTACTTTAGATTAATTAAGCTAAACCTAGTTAGGGTTGAACCAAAGAGTTCTGACGTGCGACTATTCTCTCCTGCTGAGTTTGTTCGTGGTGGATTTATCTTGATTGCTTTAGATTTAAAATTCTTCGTTCGACTCCTGTTTCGGTGGTATTATAAATTCGTATGTGTTCCGATTAATTGGTGTGAAATGTAAGTGATGGGTGTGTGTCTCCCTATTAGTTGCGAATAATGTTGAGGGTGTGTATTAGCTTCGACGTCTTTCGGTAGAGGTATGGGACCGTCTCCCCTCCACCGGGACTCATTGCGCTAGAAGCATGCACAAAGAGTACTGATTAAGATCACCGAGATCCTAGTACTCTCTCTCAGTGCGGTTAGAGTGTCTATCGTGGGAGTTTTAGTGAGTATAGTTCTCACATAACCTCATCCCCCTCAGGGGACCGGGGTATCTTTTGGAAGATTTCCCCCATGAAAAAAAAATCGGTGGCGGTGGATGTTTAAACAAATTGGGCTGTTATATCCATCGTCTCGAAGGTAATTTACTGATCCTTGCTAAGGTTATGCTAAATAATGGTCGAGTGACTAGTGTCTGTGAGTCAAGAGATGCTAACAATAAGAAAATAAACCAGTCTCCCATTTAACTTGAGACATTGGGTCCCAAGGCCCAATCTGTACATGAAATATTCACAAATGACACGGAAAAGAAATGAATGAACTGAAGTTATATCAAATTTTTAAATTACGTACATTGTAATGAATTATACTAGGGCAATTATTTTTAAATTGGTGTATAACTTGATTACATATAGATTTAAGGTTTAAGGTCCATGTCTACCTAGAGTCAAATCTTTGGTCTGAAAAATTGGTACGAAGACTTGGTCGCATTGCTTCATATTTTTTTATCATACATTTGCTGCTATCCGTGACTTGCAAACGGTGATTTTACACTGGCGTGGGCCGCGAAACGGATGGAAACGTATCACTTCCAGGCCAGAAGGCGGTCGTCGGAAATCAGCGAGTCGTTAACGTGAGATCCAGAAACGGGGTTACGGTCTTGGGAATCCTCGGGATATTTAAACGGCCGTGGGTAATTTCGTGTTCTTCTCTCGAGATCACTCGAGCTTCGTAAGCCAGAAGGTTTTACTTCGACTTTTTGAAGGAATTAATGGATTAGAGAGGAAATTCTTTTCTGTAGTCTTCTTCGAAGAAAATGGGGAAAAGTATTCTTTCGTGAAAGCCAGGAGGTTAATGGGGAATCGTGGACAAAGGTGTCTTTGTTTTCCCACTGAAAATATATATATATATTTTTCTATAACTACAAGAGATAAGTGAGAGTGACTAATGAACAGAATTATAACTAGACTGTAATTACGGCCGTGGTTCAGAGTCGAGTAACATGACCCAATAACGACGGTATTTGTTCGAGGTAGGCAAGAATGCTTATGCTATTGTGAAATTTAACAGAAGTACATACAGAGATAGAATTCAATGTACATATGAAAATCTTTTAACAATATGCTGGAAGCTAACAAATATCGGAGCTAAAATTTGACTTTTTGTATCCACCCTCTAATCACCTTAAATTTCGCGTTGATCAGCAGAATGTTGTATACTTCTTTTACACCATTGGATGACTAAACAGTCTTCACGTAAATTCACGTAGGCTCGTATTTGAAGGGATTGGGTAGAATAATATTGCGAATTCTTAATAGAACAAACTAAGCTTTATGAATAGAGTAACAGATTAATAGAATAGTAACTATGCATATGGTGCAATAGAAATACAATATGCAATTGTAATTATGTCCTGACCGACTATGATTTCACTTGATCTTTCATTCACACTTCTTTCTGACAAATTGACGGTTATCTTATGACTCATACGATTGATTTACAACTGACTTCTAAGACTGACTTCTACGACTGACTCCCAACTCACAACTCATAACTGATTTCTACGACTCACAACTGAACTTTAAGACTGACTTCTATGACTGACATTTAGACTGATTTGTCCGCATCCTTGTACTCTTAGTTTAATCTTACACTCTGTCCTCTTTCATACTCAGGCTTCTCAGACTTTCTTCCACGATTACGCATTTTCCACGCAACCTCACCCTCGATGAGCCAGAAACTTCAAACACTCAGGACGCATTCCTAAACTTTCGCTCGTTACTCGCACTCGACTCTGTCGTAAATATCCCTTACAATCGATCCTTTTGCACGTGGTCACTTTCATCCGATATCCCAAACACTCTTAATATTCTTTCAGGGTCGCATTCGTTCCAATCTTACATGTATTTAAAGTCAGAAGTCTAAAAGTTGTCAGTATTGAAAATCAGTTTAAAGTCAGTAGAGTTTTAAACCAGAAGTCTAAGAAGTCTGTTGTAAGAAAGTTGTTAGAGCGTTGCATAGTTACTATTGCATTACATCGATCCGTTATTCTATGAATGAAGATTATTTTTGTTCTGTTAGGTATCTCTATATTATTCCAGTTGATCCCTCGCAATACGATCCTAAATATATGATAAAATTAATTTGTATAGATTATTTTAATTATGCGTGTTATATCTGATATACTTCGACTTTATTTCATATCTATTTTCGGATTCAATTTCGGAATGAGAATCAATTTTGTTACATACCTTCTAGGTCCTAAACACATTACTCCTTCCACTCCTACATTCGTTTCCACAATAGTACCTCTGCAAATAACAATACCAATTCTTTTTTTGCTTTTCCTTTTCAGGTAATGCCCATGCATGAAGTAACTCGAAGACTGGATTCAACTCTTTCACGAATCGCGCTTTTATTCTCCACTTCCCGTTAAACGTATTCGGAATTTAAGTAAATCCGAGTTATCTGTAACAGATCAAAGGATCGATGTAATTGAAAAGTGATTTAAAACCACGCGTGTTCTTCGGAAGAAAACGGCAGAATAATTTCTTCCGGAGAAAATAGTAAACTAATTCCCAATTCGATGGGAATGTAATCGCTGTCGAATGATACTGAGCTACTTTTTAACATAATAAGGAGTTCATTAACTATCAACAAGGCAAGTAACAAAGCGTTCAGTGACTAGTATAACACGGCAATAAAATTAACCTAGCTTTCGTAAAGCGATGTAGATCGTAGCTACAAAGGGACAGTTGAACGTGGAATGTCCATCGACTCAGAAGAAATTCCTTTTCCCTTTGTTCGCATTCCACCGCGTGAAATAAAAGATTCAGCCGGCCAGAATTCGTTGTTCGAGACGATAGAGGAGACGCAGACGCCGTGCCCGCGGGGAAGTTCGATTGAAAAGCCGAATTCGATTGCGTTTTATGTCAGAAGAGAGGCTGGCGAAGGAAGGAAATGAAGAAAGAAGAGGGAAAGGTGAAATGGAGTATATTAGGTTTTCGTTACAAGGAAGTATTTGTTAAGTTTGTACGGGCGAAGAAAATGTTGAGGCACAGGGAAGTGAAAATGGACAATTAGAAGAAACATGGGCAACCCTAATGCCGTTAGCAACAACACGCGGGACTTTTGTAGCAACAAATATAAGAACTTTGTGCCTCCAGAGGGTGGTGAGTACCTTTGTATATATTAATCTTCATTTATTCGTTCGTTTATTTAATTTAATTATTTATACGTATTTGTACGTTAATTTATTTAAACAATTAATTAATTAGAGAAAGAATAGGAAATGTGAACTGAATACTTTATTAAAAGTTTCATGTCTTATAAAGGAAAATTAGATTTCCTATACTTGATTTTGAATTTGCTCTTTCTGAGGTATTCTTGAAGACAGAAAATAGGTATTACAGAAAGATGCGAGGAACATGAGTATGTACTATGCGTTGCAAAGAAGAAGTCCGATGTTTCGGCACAGAAACAAGGGGGGTAATCCACTCGCTCGTAGTTCCCACTCTTTCTTGATACTACCGAAACCACTACCTTCAGGTTCGGTAATATTATACGTTAACATAGGCGTAAAATATCTGTAAAATCCGTATAATCGAATAATACATTGCAAGCCTGCGAACATGAGAATAATATTGCACAAACGAAACATGATTATTTTCATTTATACTTCGAAAATATCGAGCACATATTTAATACGTATACAAAATATAATTATAGTTAAATAAAATTCGGAAATGAACATTCATCGGAAGAATCTGAAGTTAATGCTTAAGGGATGAGCCTACGCCCCTGCATCTATTTGTTGCGTCTGTTTCACTTTGTCTCGATTGTTTCGTTCGCTTCCTTTGTCACACAGTGCTGTATGCTCAAGCTAATAGAAAGGGATCATTCTGTCAATAAGGGAAGCACGTTTATACTCTGCTTCTGCGATGGCGTTAAAATGAGCGAGAGTTGGTGAGAGAGTTGGTGGGGATTCGGTCCTATGTTTTGTTCAGTGAACTTTTTGTCTGCAACGTATAGTACTGCGCGTTCGAGAAAAGGAGGCACTGCGTGTTTACGTCCTCATGGCCGACTGACTCCATTGACGCTACTATGTGTCATAGGTAGTGACGAGGATCATTGGCGAGCCGTAGCGAGACTGAGTGAGATAAGAGATAATGACAGCATCGGCGTAGTCTTTCAATCGTAATGTTAGCTTTCTGTTTCTTAACACGTTGAACGTCGGTTTTACGTACCGTCTCGTTCACGCCACAGTTAGTTGTCATGCGGGCCCTTTTGGGCCGCACGAACCGGCGAGGCCTGAACGAAAAGTCTAGCGTCGGTCCCTAGGAACCGGCGTGGCGTTTAACGTGTTACTAAGCTTTTTTTGGGGGGGGGGGGGGGGGGGGGCTCCACCACTGTTGTTGAAGATGATTGGGTGCGGCAGGTATCCTCAGTTTTTGCGGAGGTGCTGGAAGGGACGAAAGGGAAAGGAAGAAATGCGTTTCATTTCAGGCCTGCTAGTGGACTCATCCGTAAGGCTACCTAGCAGGCCCTAGCCCAGACGGGAATACTATTGGAAAGTCTAGTAGTTCTATATTCAGTAAGTGGAGGGTTTACTGAGGACTTAGGAGAATATCCTCGAACTCCTTGAACCTGAAATTCATTTAGTGGGCAGTATGAGAATGATGCCGCCACAAGTTAACATTTAGATTGAAAGACTAGCTGATGCTGTCATGTCCTATGTCGCCACTGCGGTCACTGCCTATAATCAAGGGAGTGTCAGCGGAGTTAGTCAGTCGTGAGGATAAAAACACTCTATTCCTACTTTTCTCGAACGCACAGTCGATATATATACGATCGTTAGGTCGAATCGACTATACCAGATGGTGCATTGACGCGACATGTGCTTCAGAAAATCACTTCGTACTTGAGCACCTCGGTCCTTTCTAACTTACGTTATGACCTTGGTTAAATTATTAAAGACTCCTTATGGTGCACACACAGTATGTACAAGTGTATATATACTGTACTCGGTGTAAGATCGAATAGAACCAACAGATTCCTACTTTAACAACGGAAGCACTATCAATTTGACGATGCTACAGTAAATTGGTCACGTCACGATAGTAAACAATGGCTTGTGACAGGGTAAAGGTAAATCGCATGAATAAAAGTATATAATGCAGACTGGTCATTCGGTTAATGATCGTAAATTCGTATATCTGAGAATTATGTTTTATTTGATGAAAGGAGAGGACAAAGGAAAGACGACTTTTATTTTTTAGCCTAATCTAGATAGCCTGTTTTAGTACAGAAAGCATGCACAATGGACTTACAATTAGTTTAGATATTCATTTCATACTTAGTTAAAATTGTGGTCACACGTTCTACGATATTCAATGACGTTCCACGTTTGAAATACACCGTATTTGTATTTAGGTATGGAATACAGAATTTATGAAGTGGACACGAAACGAATATGAAACGAATACGAAAGGAACGCGAAGAGAGGAATAAAAGGAGCGAAAGAATTGACCAAGTGAACTGACACAGAATTAAATTTAAGGATAGTGGACTAATGAAGGAAAAATATAAATCTCAAATGTCAATAGAATTTGAAAACAGAATTTCGCACTTGTGTATGTTAATGAAATTAGTTTTTGTATTATTTCGCTTATTTTTTAGATAAACTATAACTCCAATACATTTCTGTGTTGTATAGTGACAAGAATTTATCGAATAATGAAAAAATTATTATGAAATTGTGTAAAAGAGGAGAACGTGGATAGAATGGATAATGTTCATTAACCAGACCATGATTTTAGCCAATGACCACTGTCTATTCCATTCATATTCCCACTCCGATTAACGTTTCGATCTGTCCAACCTGAAATTGACAATTGAGCTTGAGCTGTAATATCCCAGTCCTTATATAGCAAGTAGTGTATGTCTACCGAAGATCAGCCGAAATGTGACGATTGTTATCGATTGCACTAATAATTACATTGTAATAACTCATTTTACAACAACTTTTTTAAATATTATATAATAGCCAATAATTTATCAATATTTTTTAATGTCATTAAGAATTTACACTTTGTGCAATTTGTTTTTAATAATTAATAATTTTATACATTCTTTGCAAATTATATCTACAAAATATGAAAGATATTATGCATATTGCAGTGAATTATAAACCAAGAAAAATAGAATTGATCACATTTAGAATTTTTCTAAATTAACAGAGTACAATGTTACCTCTGAACTTTCGCATGATCGGTATCTTAAAACATGGAATTGGAAATTTCGTGTTCCGAGTCTCATACATATTTCTATTTAAAATCAATCTAATAGACAATCGAAGAATAATGATTTTTTGACAAAAAGCATTGTAGTCAAATAGAATTGACAACCAATCTTATACTCAATTTTGACAAACCGGTAAGAATGTCAAAAACTGATATTTGAAAAGGTACTGAAATTGTAATTAAAATTGGTATCTTAATTGTTTCTTATTTTTAATAATAATAGTTTCTCCGTAAAAGTTGTAGGAAACAATGATTCTTCGCAGTTTCGATTAGTAGTATTAGAAAATAACTATCGATATTTTCGTAGAGATATCAAATAAGTATCAACACTGGTATAAATATCGAAATGAGAAATTTTCTTTGATAGGCAGTAGTATTCCATACTAGATCGAAATTCGAAAAGTAGTATCGATGATATTGGATGTTATCGATTTCGATGTTAATATGGAGTCTATTTCGCACCAGTAATGAGATATCAACTAACATCACAAGACATAGAAAGAGGATATAAAGGGAGAGCTATCGATTTACTTCCCATAATAACTGCAGTTTTATTCAAATGCTATATACAACTCAAGAAATATACAGGGTGTCCCAGCAACAGTAGTACAACCGAGAAGGGGATGATTCTACGTGAAAAAATAAATCGGAAATGAAGAATAAAATTTTTTCATTCGAAGCTTCGTTATTGAGATAATCGGCTTTAAATATTTACCGGGTGTGCGTGCATTTAACTATGACTTAGTTATGACTTAGCTATGGATAGTAAACCAGCGCACTCAGTGGATATTCAATGTCGATTTTCTCGACAACGAAGCTTCCAATAAAAAAATTTTATTCTTTATTTTCGATTTGTTTTTTCATCTAGAACAACCTCCTCGCTGCTTGTATTACTAATGCTGATGTATCGATGGTTTATTCATCTAAGCTACAGTGAAGTGCACGCGTGCTTGGTGAATATTCAACGTCGATTTTTTCAACAGCGAAGCTTCAAATGAAAAAATGTTATTTTTCATTTTCGATTTATTTTTTCACCCACTTCCTGGTTATACTACCGTTACTGGAACACCCTGTATATATATTAGTATATAGCGATGTATCGTTTCTCTAATCAATTTCGAATTGTATAAAACACCATGTTTCCATCAGAAGGGAACGCGTGTTGACAGTAATACTGTTCACATATGAGTTTCCTTTCCTTTTGCAGAGCTGTGGTGTGAGCCAGTCTGGGACTTGTTGCTCTGTTGGCCGCCAACCAAGGCAACGACGACAACCAAACAGAGATGTCCGTTCGAAGATGGATTCGATACAACCAGTAAGTACACACGCTTCTGTTTGATGAGTGCACATTTAAATTGCTTGTTAGCGGGCTTGCCACTGCACATGTGTAAAGACAAAGATGCGCAAGTAGAATGAAATATCGTGCAATAATTGAAATCCATTTGTGATTTTCAAAAAACTAATTTCGAATGCAATAACAGGTTTGAAGAAATTTAACCAAACTCATTTATTTGAATCATGTTTATTCTTTATTATATCTTTATAAAACTGCGTTACTTGGATCTTTCTACGGAAATGATATCGAATAGGGTTATGTTTGAATTTATTCCAATTTTCCTAAAAATAGTGGATCTAGTGAATTTTGTAAAGCAGATAGTAAGTCTAGGTATTAACTAAATAGCATGTCACTATATCTCATATAGGCAGAGATTCGTAAAAATCCACTTTCCGGATAAATGACCACTATTTATTCATTAATTATTAATTTCTAATTGTCTATTTATTAATTTATTGACTTATTTTTTCTAAGCCATTTAAGATGATAATACTGTATTTGAAAAGTGGATGAAAATTCCAGAAACATAGTTTAACACTTGACTGCCATTATTATTGTGATTATCTGTGATCGGTACTTGTCTCCTCAATGATGCCATGATGGTCACCAATATCCGGTGCTACTAATTTTCTAAATTTATATTTGTTTTATTCTAACCATTTTTCGAAAATTTGAACAACGTAAAAAAATAGAGTCCTTTGAATGGAAGATATTAATAATTTACATCATTTTTCTTTTTCGTCATATTGCTTAATATAATACAATTAACATATATAATATAATTCATCATTATATCGTAGGAATAATGGAAATTTTATCGTAGTCCCCATATAAAAAGTGCGTGGTAGTCAAAGTATCAATGTATTCTATTTAGTTCATGCTCTATTTCCAGCAAGTCAGGAGGTAGGAAAAGAAACGAGATGTTCCCTGCACGAACAAGCGAATTCGCTTAATTAGATTCGGGTTGGAACTAGCGAAATATTGTGCAAAGTTATTTCGATATATCAAATTCTATTTTCAACGAGCCATTCAGTTGAAAAAGATTGTTTATCTGTACAGGAATCTTTTATCGACGAATGAATAGCCGTAACGAGGTCAGATACTGTAATTATTAGCTCTGCCAACGAGACAGGGATGAAAATTTAATAAGCGCCTCCTCAATTTAAGTGTTTAAAAGATTTCTTTTGCCAAGGTTCATCATTATTTCAGACGCAATTAACGTGGCTGCGGGGCCTTGGCAAGTTGAACGCTTTTCGGCGTTATTGACTAATTAATCCAGTCCACGGAGGGAACTTTAAGATTCCTCGCGAGCAAAGGTGCATTTGCATGGCAGATTGTTCGTGGAAGAATTTCACGGGCATTATCGGTAATCACAAATTCCTGAACGTTCGTATCGGGCTATAGTCGAGAAGGGAAGTTCCGTGGTTAAATTTATAATCTCCTCGGGAGAGACCTTATAGATGGCGTTTGATTTGCGTGCTAAAAGTGGAACTTAAAGGAACGTTCTTACGAAATACTTTTAACCTATAATTATTTCTCTTTGTCTTCTCCCTTTCATTCCTTCTCCTTTTGCGAAGATTAAAAGAGAGATTAAAAGTTTGCGAAAGCTTATATCACATTTGGAATCGTTAAGCGGTTCTAGTACTCCACTACCGTGATCTCTTTCCATTTTCTTTGACTTTGCGTGAGGAAATGAAGGAAGTTCGGAGCATAGCTTCATTGATCGCTGTAGTTCTTTAATTTCTTGTTAAATATTTCCAAGTTTGAAAAATTAATTTTGTTTCTTTATCAAATTTTCGTACATAACTTCGTTTCCTTATCAAATTTTCATATATAACTTCGTTTCCTTATCAAATTTTCATATATGACTTCGTTTCTTTATTTATCTTCGCCGTATGTTACAATTATTTTCAATTATTTACAATTATTTTCGCTGTATATTTATAAATTTGAGAAAATCTGTACGTTCCTTTTTCCTTGAAATTTATTTGGAAAGGAAAAAAAATGCCGTCGAAAACTTTTTTGAAAAACTTCATCGAAAATTTCGAAGAGTTTTGAAGTGTATCATATATGGAATTTCTATCGAATGGAATGATATGAACGAATGATTTTAATATGCACGTTGCATACGAAAAAATTACAACGATATATGTTAATAAATATTAAATATAATAATATAATAATAACATGAGAAAGAATATGGTTGACTTTGAAATGATTTTCAAATCGACATTGCAAGAATTATTTTTTATCATTGTTAAACTTAAAACATTATACGAAGAGATAATTAAGATGTTGATTATAATTGAGACACTCTAAGTTTCTTTTCTTTCCAATAGTACTTGGGATTATATAGAATACTCAATTCTAATTTTAGATGCATCGTTTCGTCGTATTTTCCCACAGATACTGCAACAATTGGATAAGGACCTATTATAAAATGCGTTTTATCTTCTGTTTTCGATACTTACCGAGATGTTAGCCCCCGCGAGATTGCTCCATTTTATCGAGTCATGTACTGGAAATAAGCTTCTCCGATATTCATGATCTGGAATTATAATTCATCTCCCAATCCATGACGTAGCAAATCCATTTAACTTCGCGTTCAAAATTCTGCGATATAAAAAATATCGAGTGCTCCATTATTTTTATTTCATCCCTTACAAATGGGTTTCGAATTTTGCTGAAATTTTAAAATACACCGAAGTACCTAAATTAACATCGTCGATATTTATACGATATTACAAGCTATTACTAATTAATTATTATTACTAATTAATTATCAATTAATTAATTAATTATATTACAAGCTATTACTTTCGAATGTAGTGAAAAATTCGGCTAAAATTTTCCACTTAGACACTAGGTTTATGGTTTTATTTTTGTATACCTATTTATATCTACAAACACCCGTCAATTTGACGGGTAAATTTTACACATTAATTCAATTTTAATATTGTATAATTGAAGCAATCTATCCGTCAAATTAACAAACAATAGGTCCCGTAAACCTAATGTTAAAAGAAGATAAATTGAATATTTCTATGTACTTCATGAATGCACATAAATTTCTCAGTCTGTAACTTTTATATTTAAAAAGAAATCTCATTCTTCAGGGCGAAAATGAACCGATCTCCTTGAACGAGCCAGTTCTCATGAATAATATTTCCGATTTTTGTTGCCGGGGGTAAGCTCAATTTTCATTTCAACTCAGCAACAAGTGTTCCTGATTGCCCTTAACTTTCGTCTAATTACTCGATTTAAGGAGACGTGTCCAAAAAAAAAAAAAAAAGAAATGAGGAGTCATAGCGGGCATGCCCTGGGCTATATGTTAGGACGAAAAGAAGAGAATAGTCTTCCCTTATAAGTGATAATATCAGACTTTAACATTTCAGACTGTTTCATATCTCGAAAATACAATTTTTGGCGATGTTACCTGAACAGTATCCTTTACTTACACTTCTACAGTTCCATTTTCAACGATTTTTGCCATTCCATATCCTTCTATTCATCTATCCACTTTAAAAATTCTTAAAAATTTAGAAGCTTCTTAAAATTTTAGATAATAAAATATTAAATATTTAT